ATTATTTGACAAAAAGATAGAGTGAGGAGCGATAGCTCACAGTCCACAATGTATAAGGATAAAGTCTTACTTCAACCACAGCTATCATAGTAAATGCCAGCTCTTTCGGCCACAGGATCATTAGGACATACCCGTGTGAGACACAATACAGATGCAGAGGGGAAAGTCATACACATGTTCTAACTAAAACCTCAGGGAAATTATGGGTGCTGGGAATGGAACTACTTGAGTTGGAGATGAGCCAGAATATTAGCTACAGTTCCTGGGATCTTTCAAAATGAAAACTCAATTGGATTCTCAAATATAAAGTTTCTTCTTTTAAAATTTTTCATTTTATTATGTTTGAAACACTTAACGAGCGATTACCCACTTCACAGTGTTTTTTTTTTTCTTTTGGTGTTGGGGGGAACCCAGGCCCTTACACATGCTAAGCATGAACTCCTGCTGTGCTGCACCCCAGGCCCATCACTGAACAGTTCTGTGTGTACAGAACAGTACTGCTGACCACAGGTACAATGTTGTACGTCAGATCTCTAGAGGTTATTCATCTCTTAACTCAGACTTTAAGCTTGTTGATTAGTAACTTCCCATTGCCCCTCCCTAGCACCTGACAACCAGCATTCCACTCTTTGAGTCTATGAATTTGTCTGTTTTAGATACCTCATGTGAATGGAGTCATGCAGTATTTGTCTACGACTGGCTTGTTTCACTCAGCTTAATGCACTCTAGGTACATCCATTTTGTAGCACATAACAGAATTTCCTTTTTTAAGGCTAAATAGTTTTCTATTTTGTGTATACATACACATATATGTGACATACAGGTACATATTATATATAATATGTAGTTCCTATATCACATATAATATGTATATCACTTATTCTTTATTCATTCATGTATCATAGACATATAGGTCATTTCCACATTTTTGATATCAAATCTGAATTAAATTAGGGAACCATTAATAACACCTCTTCTACAAAGAGACTGTGACTTCCTTTTGGGTCCCCAGGAAAATATCATTCTCCTAAAACTCCTCAAGCCTGTCCCAGACAGTTAGGTGGCTCAAGAGTACTTGATGCTAACACAAAGGTGGGTCAGTTATTAAATCCTATAAGGTAAAAATCACCATGCAAAACTTTGAGAAATGTAGTTAGCATATATATTGTGCTCTCTTCTTTATGCTTTTCCCCTTCTTTCAGAAAAGTTTAATAATCAGAAACACTGCATTCAAAATCAGTGAACTCTGTATGACTGCAAGCATATTTCTCTTCATATTAAAAATGATAAAATATCATTAAATAGCTATTAGTTGCTGACTCTTAAGTGTCTTATCCCATTCTAGCTTTTCTATGATTCTAAGGGAGAGGTCCTATTATCAAGTTCAGCTTAATGCTGAAGAAACTGAGGTACACTCAGGTGAGGCGGTGCAGCCTCAGGAGGCTGAGGCAGGAGGATCATGAGTTCAACCAGTCTCAGCCACTTAGCAAGACCCTGAGTAACTCGGCAAGACCCTGTCTCTAAATAAAATATGAGAAAGGGCCAGGGACGCGATTCACTGGTTAAGCGCCCCTGAGTTCAATCCTTGGTACCAAAAAAAGAAAGAAATTAAGGCACAGTGTGAGGCCCTAGGTTTGATCCCCAATGGAATCAAGCAACAGAAAGGTTAAGGAATTCACCAAGTACCTATTCAACCCTCACATCAATTCAACAAGATAAATACTATCTGCTTCCTCACCTTAAAAAGACAGACACCAAGCATAGAGAAGTCCAATAATTCTCCTGTGCCCATGCAGCTAGTGTGGAGCAAGGCCAAGCTAAAAACCTCTACCGCATGACTTCAGAGCTGGAGGGCAGGTGCAGCAGACGAGCAGAGCTACAGCACTGCGCATGTGCCTCAGCTGCCCTGGAATACCAGGGAGCAGTGCAGAAGTGAGGAAGGTGCAGGCCAGCTCTACCACCCAATCAGTGAGAAGGTGGCGTGGACACACAGGTGTGCGCCTGTATGAAATAGGTAATGTCAACACACCTCTGTGTGGTGTTCAGAAAGAACACAAGCTCTGAAATAGGTCATCAGGGTGGATTTTGTTCCACTCCTTATTAACTGATGCCCTTGAGTAAATCACTTAATCTCTAAGCCTTGGTTTCTTACACTGAAATGTGGGTAATAATATATATGTTACAGCGATGCTGTAAGTGCTATAAGCATTATACATAAAAGACATACGTAAGTGCCAATCACTGTTCCTGAGCCAAACAGCTGCCTAACAAAGATTCCACTCTTTAGTGCCATTTTTCTCTTTATTGACTTTATAGGAAGAAAAAGAATACCAAAGTACAAGCCTTAAAATCATTCAGAGCACAATATGGTTTTTACCAGGCTGGCAGTCACATACCGTCGAGCAGGTTGGACACTGCAGAAGAGAACCCAGCCAAGGGGGGTGAAGCTGAACTGTAGCTCACACCCTACATAAAGAACAGATCCACCCCATACACACCTTTTTCCACATTCTAAAAGTGGCATGCCTCTACTGCCGCACCATTCAAAATTGTTTATTCTTATTCATTCTCAGACTATCTTCCTAAAAGTACTTAGGAAGCCAGAGAAATTCTCCATGGAAACTAGGTTTTTCCTTGGCTAATTCATAAACTTCACTGAAGTCAGTTTGCAAAGAACACAACAATTAGGTTCTGCACTCCTCACGAGGTTGCTTTCCCTTGGATTATTTCAATCAACAGAAAAGAAGTGTGCCCTTAATCATGAATTTACATAACTAAGATGCACTGAGTTCTTACCAAATTCAGCAACACTATATACTTAACATCCCTGAGCAGAGGTAGAGGTCTGACATTCATTCACGTTTTAAAGAAGAAGAAAAAAATAGCTGAGTTCTATTGCATGATCACAAGGGAAAGGAATAAAGACAAGAAAATAATTTTTCAGCACATTCTAAATGCTGGATTCTTTGTTAGTAAGTATAAGAACCTTCCTTTAAATAATCCTTCTAATCAAAACCATAAGTATTGTTTAAAATATCTGAATGATTTAAGCTGGATGTTGAAGATAAGGGAAGGAGACACTGGCTTCTCGTTTTTTAATCTTCTGCATTATTTTAATTTTTTCACCCATATGTATTTTATTTTAATTATGCTGGGAGACATAGACACGATTACCAATTCTCATAGGAGGAAACAGAATACATCAATTTTAAGGTAACTTTTTTGGCTAAAAAACGATGGAGTCATCATTCAAAAATAATACTGTCTTAGAAAAAAGAGTTTCAGGGAAGTTCAGAGTTCATTCTTGGGAACTCTGTTTTCTCACTAATGTGGAATTGGTTGGCCACTAAGAAAAATAAAACTAGGCCAAAATGAAGGACTTGAGGAAGGGATTTTAAAAAAAGAAAGAAAAAGGATCATCATTGTGAGCTTGGGGCAGGGAGTTGACTGGGGCTAAGCAAATGGATGGCTCAGCACAGAGGAGGGCCTGCTAAGATTGGAACTCATAAATCTGTAATGGAGCCAATCAGCACAATTATATAATTTTTTCCCAGTGGACCTGGGAGAGTCCAGAAGTGGTTGATTCAGGATTGGCAGGATATACGTGGTGTTAAACAAGGGCTTTAGAAGTCTTGAGGGGACCTGTAGCTTCAAAGCAGGTAAGATACTGAGCCTGAATTCCATCCCTTCTGAGAACAAACTTAAAAGTAGAATAAGATTAAAAGGAATTGAAAAGACAGACACCAGACCTCGTGAAAACAGGGAGCAGATCCCGCAAGGGTTTATGTGCAAAGGGCAGGTGCCACTTTAGAGGGGGAGGAGCAAACCTAACCAAAGGAACCTCCACAAGGTTTTGAGCTCAAAAGCAGCAGAAGCAACAGCAGGCAAACGTGAGATGTGGAAAGGAACCCAGAGGAACTCTTCAGGCATCTGAGGGAGAGACCCCATATCAGTGGGCCCTGCCATTGGCATCCATACGCCCACCCCAAGATCCAATTCAGGAACCAGAGATTCATCAGAAAGCTCTTCTTTAAAGAAACTGCAAGACATTCAAAAAGCTAAGCCTCTACACTAGACATTGTCCCCCCATTGCACCCTCTCATTCTTGCATTTGGAATGGAGGAGGAGAAGAGCAAGAGATGCTAGACTGAGTGCTGTCAGACTGCAAAGTCCAGAAAAAAAACAAACAGAAAAATTGTCCCTCAAAACAAAATGATAAAATGTAAGGAACAGAAACAAAGTTGAAAAATTCTAATTATATGCCCAGAGGGACCTGAGAAGGTAAGACTGTCTTAAGACAACTTCAGGATGCTATGAAAAAGGGACACTCAGAATTCAACAAAGAAAAAGATTTTCCTCAAAGTAAAAAAAATATATATATATGTGTGTGTGTGTGTGTGTGTGAGAGAGAGAGAGAGAGAGAGAAGAAAATAAAGTTTGGAAAAAACACCCATAGCAGAAGACAACAGCATATGAAATACGAGAGAATAAGTTCAACACACAGGCAACCAGTCCATAAGTTGCAACATCTGATTAACAGGAATCCTGCAGAACACAAGTAAAATGAAGAGGCAAGAATGAGAAACACTATAGTATAAGAAAATTTCTCCAAGGTAAAAAGAAAACAGACATATGTATTATATTTAAAGGGCTTAGAAAGGACTACGTACAATGAATGAATCAAGTCCAATGGAGACATCCATCATCAATCCATCCATCCACCCATTCACCCACACATCCATGCAACAAATGCCACTCATTGTTTTAGATGGCAGGGAGGCAACCATTATGCAGACAGGTATAGTAACTGGTCTCAAAGAGCTCATATTTTAGAGCCAGAGACAAGAACAAAGAAAATAATTAAACAAGATCATTTCAGATAATGTTAAGTGCTCCTGCCTCATCCTCCTGAGCCGCTGGGATTACAGGCATGCACCACCATGCCTATGGGCTCCCACTTTGGTCATGATGACAGGGGATGGCTCTTCAGAGGTACTTACCCTGTTGTATAAGGGATGTTGATGCCCCCTAGATTGATGCTTTCACATCCAACAATAAATAGGGTTGAAAAACACAGTAAAGACACACCGCTGCAGATCATTGCTAATTTTGCAGATTCTCTTGCACCAAGTTTCAATTTTTTTATAATGTAGCCTCCGAGGACAATACCAACACCAGCACTGGGGACAATAATAACACCTGGAAAAAAAGAGAAGGGGAGGGTTAATTTGAACTAATATACATGATTGTTTGTCTTTTCCAATTATTCTGTTTCTGTTTGCCTATTAGTACTAGAGTAAAGAATTTTAAAATTGTCATCAATAAATAAAAGGTGTGTGATTCTACAGTATAATATCACTTTCAACATCTAATGATCAACAAAGGATTCACATCCTGATGTTATGAAGAATGTTAACAAAGCAATAAGATAAACAACCCCTTAGAAAAATAGGCAAAACTTGAATCGAACCTTCACCAAAGAGAAAATACAGATGACCAGTGAGCTCATGAAAGGCACCCACCTCATTGCTAAGAGGGAAATACAGATTAAAACCACAGTGAAACACCACTATGCACCAATGGTAAAAATTTAAGTCACAATACCACATGTTGGCAAAGATAGAGAGGGCTGGGAACTCTCCACCTTGGTGGGATGTCAATACTGACACCACTTTGAAGCATAAATTGGCATTATAGAGTTGAAAATATATATCCCTGTAACAGGCAATTCCATTTCTGGATCCATATTTTGAAGAAATTCATGCTCCCAGGCAACAAAAGAGATTACAAGATATTTGAAACACTCTAAGAGCCCAAAACTGGCAATAAACCAAGTGTCCATTAACAGATACATTATATGTAATATATTCATATAGTGCAGTATATGAATATACATTCATATACTGCAATTAAAAGGAATATACTATACAGCAATTAAAAGGAAGAAATGTAGACACATATAATATGTGGCTGAATTCTACCAAGACAATGTCCAATGAAAGAAAGAAACTACAACAGAATACTATACATGACATGTTTACACTTGCAAAAAGTACTAGGAATATAAGTACATACACAGGTAATACAACTGGAAAAAAAAACCTAGAAGGTAATTGTCATAAGAGCCAAGATAGTAGGGGAATCAGTGATAGGAAAGAAGGGGTTCCTCTGGTGTTGAAAACATGTCATTCCATAATCTGGGTAATAGCTACTGCTATGGCCTGAATGTCCCCCCCCCCAAATTCATATGTTGACATCCTAACCCCTGACATGATGACATTAGGAGGTGGGGTGCATGTGGAATTTGGGTGTGATTAGATCGTCAAGGTGGAGGCCAGATGAATGGGATAAGTATTCTAATAAGATACCCAAAAGCCAGGCTCAATGGCACTCACCTGTAATCCCCGCAGTTTGGGAGGCTGAGGCAAGAGGATCCTGAGTTCAAAGCCAGCCTCAGCAATTTAGCGAGACCCTGTCTCTAATTAAATATAAAAATGGACTGGGGATGTGGTTCAGTGGCTAAGTGCCCCTCAGTTCAATTCCTGGTACCAAAAACAAAACAAAACACAAACAAACCCTGAGAGTTCCTCATCTCTCTTGCCATGTGAATACATGATAAGGAACCATCTAAGAGAAAGAGAGTCCTCACCAGACACCAAACCTGCTCATGTCTTGATCTTGGTCTTCCAGTCTCTAGAACTGAGAAATAAATTCCCCTTGTTTATAAACCATCCTGTCTTTGGTAATCTTATTGCAGCAAACCAAAAAGACGAAACAAGTGTTTCCTTTATATTTATTCCTTATCTCTATATGCATTTCTGAGTGTGTTATATTTCACAGTAAAAAATAATATAATAAAATTATAGAAATAATTTTACAATCTAAAAGAGGTTACACATAGGTGATAGATAATGAGAATGTAATGCAATTGTTCTACCAAGGGCATGGAGAATACAGGAGAAGAGGCACTTTTTTCTTCCCTGGGAGAAGTCAGCAAGGCCTTCTCACAGAGGCAGTACGTAAGCTGACACAACAGATGAGACAGAATCTGCCCAATGGCCCAGCACAGAGAGAACCTCCTATACAAAGGAAATACAAGCAGAGAGGCAGGAGATAATGGAATTGAGAACTCAGAGAAGTCCAAAATATTGGGAGGGTGGAAGGCAAGTTGTTGAGAGGTAGCAGGACATGGGGATAAGAGGTTAGGAAGAGTGAGACCATGAGAGACAAGGGAAAGATGCTCAGACTGTATGTCTGGACAGGTCACTGGAGAATCCTGAGCTGGGTCAGACAGGATGGGAGTGGTACGTTGTGAAGACTCCTCTAAGAGAGATATGAGGGAGCTTAGCTGGGGTGAAAACATGAGTCAGAGAAGTGGTCCTGCAAAGGTCCTGTGAGCCACAGTAAGGCTCTGCCCTGGTAGCACAATAAACTAGATAATGAGGCTGGGGGAGAAGGAATAGGAGGACTAGTGCAGGACACTCAGGCAGGGGGATCCAGAATAGGAGGGTAAAGTGTGGGGGGCTATTCCATGGTCTCCACAGTGCACACGCTGAGTTGAAGGCCCGTGGAACTACCAGAGAGAAATGCCTCACACTGTCCTACCTGGGGGCTGTAAGCTCCAGGAAGAGCCAGGCTGGGGGTGTAACCTGTAGTTGAATTCATGGCAGAGCTGGGATGTTACAAGATGGCACAGAGTGAGAAAGGAAAAGAGCCAAAACCCAAAGAAAGCTGAAAAGAAGCAGCCACAGAAGCAAAAGAAAATCCAGAAAAGAGAAATGTCACAGGGAGGATAAAACTTGGGATTTGTAGCCAGGTCATCACAGATTAGCTTCCTAAACTTTCTAAGCCAGACATCTTTACTAAGGAGCTGTGCACCTTTCATGTGAGAACCAAGATGGCATGCACTCCCTGTGGGTAGATACAGCACATAGCATATGGTACACAATATAAACTGTAGGAACAGTCAGAGCAACTGTGCCATAGAAAACTAAAGAGAGAGAGAGTTTCGAGGAGAGAATGGAAAGTGGTGTCAAATGCCTCAGAAATCCAGTAAGGAAGACTGAAATGAAATCATCGTGCGCCTGGAAACCTTGACAAGAGCGATTTTAAGGGTGTCATAAAAGAAGAAGCCAGACTGCAATGGCTTGAGAAGTCAGTCTTAAGACTGTGGAGACTGGGACTTGATTGATCTTTCTAGAACTCTGGCTATTAAAGGAAGGAGGGGTAGAAGTCTACAGTTAGAGTGAAGCCAAAGTAAACCTGAGGTTCAGGGAGGGAGTCGTCTGTTTGCTAAGATGCAGAGGGGACTTGTGTATGTTTACATACTGAGGAAAATACACTAAAACAGAGTGAGAGGTTGAATGCAGAGGAGAAAGATAGCTAATGACAATGCAAGATCCTTGAAAAGTCAACACGGATCATCTGTTTAGCCCCGGAGAAGGCTTCACCTAGACCAGAACAGGGGACAAGTCTGCAAGGGGGTGGCAGCTGCACGAATGTTAACTCTCCCTTTTGGTTATGTTTCCATTACTTTGGAAACAATGTAATATGTGTTGCAATAAAATATTTGAAAAACATAGAAAAGTATGAAAGAACATAATTGAATGCTTTCATATTTAACTGCTTACATTCTGGCATAGTTTGTTTCCTTAGGAAAAACAATGATGACATGATATATATTCATATTTTATAGCTTCATTTTGGGTGTTATGTACAATTGGAAACAAAACCAACTCTTAGAAGAGATACTGAGAACGTTCCATGTGACCAAGAGTTGGCATAACTCTAGTAGCACTCAATAGGAACTTGTAATGGTCTTGGCACATGGAGAGACCTGATACATCCGATACCAGAAAAGTGCAGCTGAGTGAATGGGCATGGCTGGTGGCTTGTCCTAGCATGTCAACAGTCCCCATAAAGAGCAGAAGAGGATGGTTAGATTAATCTGAAATCATGGTTTTGCCTGGCAACCATTTTGTCATCATCATCAGAGTCCCATAAAATAGCTAATGGCCCTTTTATGGATGAGGAAATTGAAGGTTCAGAGCAGTAACTTGCCTAATAGTGCAGACAGACAGGAAGAGAAAGGGGTGAAAGAGACTAAAAATTGACTTCTTGTGTTCCCAGCCCAGCACTCCAGATCCACATTACCACAACAGCCACTTAAGGCCAAGAGGTCCCTGAAATCTTATAGGTAAATTAGGAGCTTCATGATGAGAGAAGCTGATTAATAAAGCATCCTCCTCATTAAGGAAAAGCACAAGGGCTGTGAGTGTGATTAGAGAGGCAGAATTTTACCCTCAGAGTGAAAATAGTCCATTGACAAAAGTTCTATTTCCATTGAACAATTTATGGAGTGCCAGTTTCCATGCAAAGCTCAGGATAACAAAAACAAAAGTCCTCCTGTTCAGAACTGAGTCATAATTTTAAAACAGGATAATTTGACTATGCATCTTAGTGTTCAGTCTTAAAAATAGAAAATTTGTCATCAGTAAATATTAGGGTGCATCAAATGGGATGAAGACCCACTAACATTTTCTCCTTATATCCCACTGTCTTCTAAATCTCACCACTCTGTTGAAACGGGAAGCCTGTCCCCAGCCTCTGCTCCTCTGAGCCTACCACGCCGGCCCTTTTCCCAGTCTCAGGAGGACCACCCTGTGGCCCCCTGAGTTCCTTCTCCGCGCGCCCCCTAGTGGCCAGGACAAGGCGAGGGCGGGGACAGGTGAATGGGGAAATCACATTAATTGGTCTAGCAGGTTTAAGGGGAGACTTTGAGGCTGATAGAGTTGAAAAGATGGGAATGCTGCACCAAGACGAGGGACTCATGGCCTGAGGGACAGATGGCAGAAGACAGAGGTCAATGCAACTCCAGATGTAGGTTCTGTAGCCAGACTCCCAGAGTTCAAAACTTGGCTCAGCCACCTACAATCTTCATGTCTTTGGGCAAGTTACTGAACATTTCCAGGATTCATATTTTCTATTTTGTAAAATGTTGGTAACAATAGTACCACCCTCAAAGGATTGTTGGGATTAAGTAAATTAAGACATAAGATCTGACCCACAATTTATATCCAATGAACACTGGCAATCATCGCCACCACCATTTATAAATTGCTATCATCTATTATCATCAATTAACAAGTTTAACTTTTGCACACATAATGGAATTATAATTAGGCTAGCTTGTACATGTT